TTGTAATAATAAACACTGTCCCTGTGGTATAGATAAGGATAGTGGAGAAAATTGTTGTTTAAAAGGGAGAAACTGGTGAAATATGGGGGCTGTTTAAGCCTTTCCAGCCTACATCTGGAGAGCCAGAAGGCTGCTGGGTGTCTGTTCATAGAATCATAGAATAGTTTGGTTGGAAAAGACCATTATGATCATCTAGTCCAACTGTAAACCCGGCATTGCCAAGTTCACCACTAAACCATGTCCCTAAGCATCACATCTACACGTCCTCTGAATATCTCTAGGGATGGTGACTCCACCACTTCCCTGGGCAGCCTGTTCCAGTACTTCTCAACCCTTTCAGTGAAGACTTTTTCCCTAATATCCAACCTAATATCCTAATAACCAACTTAAACCTCCCCTGGCACAACTTAAGGCCATTCCCTCTTGTCCTATCACTTGTTATTTGGGAGAAGAGCTGTTGGGAGCTCATAGTATTGCTAGCTCTTCTTTTGTTGGTCTTTTTTCGTTGGTTTTTTTTTTTTTTCCTCCTCCAGTTTGTAGTCTGAAGTGCTCCCAGTCCTATCAAAAGAGCAACACAGTGCCATTTTTTTCCAGTGAAGCATGTATTATCGCATGCAATGATTATTTGTCCTGCCCTGACTTGTCTGCACATCTAATAGGAGAAGCATCACCTTTGAAAACTTGAGCCACATTATGTGTCCAGAAGCAGCAGGCTGTCTCATCGAGCTGTTGTTAAATGTCTCTTTTATCTGAGCTATCTTGATTTTTGAGGTGATTTTTTTCCTCAAGACTTGCGGATGGAGTTGTAGCAGCTAAATCTCTACCAGTTCTCTCATCCTCCAGGCGTGACAGGTTATTGCTTTAGATACCTGTAAACATAACAAGTTGCAACACTCCAATAGAAAAATATGCTCTTAGCAGCTGCTGAAACTTCATTCTCAGTGTATTCTATTCATTCTTGTGTAGACAATTCTGCCAGCAGAATCATAAACAAATCCTGATTATTACTGATTTCTTAAGCAAGTTTAAAATCTCCTGAATGACATAGAGAAAATAGGTTTAAATCTCTTTTCTGTGTCACTGCTGAAATTCAGTTTTTAATTTTAGCACCTTAATTGGGACTACTTAGCTTAGGAGTTAATCCTACAACTGAAGAATATGCGAATAAAAATGTCATGTTCTGGTTGCTGATGCTGTAGTCTCTGAGGCCGTGATTTTGAGGCAGGGTAATGGTTTGTTTTGAGCTAGACCATGATAATCACGGGAAGGATTGTTCTAATACTTATCATTTCTTTTCTGTACATTAATGCCAGTGTGTTTTGCTCAGTTTATCTAGACTGCTGGAGTTGCAAACGTGCTGAGAAAGAAAAACCAATGTAAATTCAGCTAATTAATTAATATCCATCTTTCTAGGCACAAAGGGTTTGTGTTCTAGTCACAGAACAACATTTTAACTTTTGAATTGTTAGCTTCAGCTTTGGATGAAACAGCTGGAAAGAACAGAAGAGCAAGCACTTCCTGTTAATTTACCTGCATATTTGTTTGCTTGTGTGTGTGGTGGGGTGTGTTCTTGGATTTTGAATTTTTTTCTTTGCTTGCCTGAGAGATGTTTTAGTTTTATTCAACTGTTGTGTGTATCTGAACAGGTTTTTTAATTTCATTTTACAGGAGGAAAATGGCCCAAACTACTGCACGAGCAACATCCATCTGTGATGAGGACTCCTCTGAAAGCAGAATGGTGGTTACATTCCTCATGTCAGCACTTGACTCAATGGTTAGTAGAGAAGTTAAACAACTGTGTCATAACTCTGTCTTTGCATGTGCAGGATTACACCAGTATCTTGCTTCCTGCTGAGGAACAGGAAAGGTGGGATGTTTTATCTTTACCTTGTTGCCTGCTGTCCAACCAGCTGTAACTCTGTCTCTTTGCTTGTGGAAAATTGTGCTAACAGTCTTCCTAAAAGCCATTGTGTTTCTTGATGTGGTGTGGTTGTTTTAAAATTATTTTGTCAAATAAACAAACAAGAAATATTTATTGATTGCTCAGGTAGAGCGTGGTTGAAAGACAAGAGTATGTTTTAGTCTTTGTCATCTGTAATATAGAGTAAATAAATGGTTTTGAGGCTAATGCCTTGTCCTCAGCTGCTGTACTAATTCAACAAAACTTGTTCAGAAAATACTTTATTGTTTTTAAGTTGGCATATCACCTGTTTTGTAGAAGTTATTTAATCATTGGGTGATGGGTTTTAAGATTGGCCAGGGCTGCGAGTGGAAACATCTGTCCTGTTTCCTTGAAGTTGAGGTACTGTCAAAGATTTGGTTCTGTAAGACTGTTTTCTTAAATTATAATCAAGAACAAAAATTTTATTTTAGCAATGAATCTTTGAATGGGATGGTTATGAGATAATTGATTGCAAGCCTTTTTTCCCAGTGGGTATATTCTGTTCCTGAAGGCTTTGTGTCACTTTTTCCTCTCATGCTGCTGTTGTTTATAGTTCTTTATAGGTTGCAGCAAACTCTGTCCTGAGTTCCTAGGAGGAACTGACTTTTTGTGATCACTTCTTGATGACCTCACTAATTTTCTTAGGATTTTTGCTCTCTCCCTGTGCTTCAGGCTTCCTGCCTTACTTCTTTGCTCCCTCCCTGGAAGTGTTGAAGGCCAGGCTGGATGAGGCTTTGAGCAATGTGGTCTCGTGGAAGGTGTCCCTGCTGATGGCAGGGGGGTTGGAACTGGATGATCTTTAAGGTCCCTTCCAATCCAAACCAGTCTGTGATTCTATGATTCTATGATTCTTTGCCAGAGATTTCTCCCAGCAGGACACACATAGGTGTTCACGGGGAAGGCTCAATCCTTCCGATCAGGAGGAATTCACCTGAGCCCCGAGCACACCAGGCAGGGCAGACAGCAGGCAGCCTTCCTGCTTGTAACCACACCATTCGGAACAGAACATGATGTGTGAGAAGTGTGCTGTGAGTGAGCAACACTCCTATATGCTCTGTTGAAAGCCGGAGTAAGATACTCGATATGATATCTAACAGGGAAGTGATAATTTCACATGGATTGCTGTCATAAATAATTTTAATTAAAAACAGTGCAATCTCTGTCTAGACAAGGCCTTAATTTCACTAATGTGTCTACAGTGCTGTTAAGATTGCTGATGAAAAGCTCTCCAGATGTATAAATTATCCTTTGCTGATGTTACTCACAGTACCTTCTGAAGGGTGGATGCTGACAGCAGAAGTAATAACTGTTTTACATGATTCCACATATATTTCTATTAACTGTACTCTTAACTATGCTAATAAAAGCTTTTTGTTTTTCTTTTTTATAGTGTAAAGAACTTGCCAAGTCCAAGGCAGAAGTTGCCTGTGTTGCTGTGTATGAAACAGATGTGTTTGTTGTTGGAACTGAGAGAGGAAGAGCTTTTGTCAATTCTAGGAAGGATTTTCAGAAGGATTTTGTAAAATACTGTAAGTTTCAATGTTGTATTTTTGTATTTCATAAGCTACTTAATGTTTATTGCATAATATTAATAACTCTGGGGAGCAAAGTTCTGTATATCATGGCTATATGCTGTAATTATGTTGGCTATGGCCAAACCAGCTGTTGAAGAACGTAAAAATTATCAGGAACAGTGGTCTTGTTTGGGGTGTTATTTCAAATGTAGCTGGAAATGTTAATTTTTTTCTTAAATAATGTGGCAAACTAGTACAATGAGAAGTATTAGACTGTCCACCCTCACAACACATCCTGCATTTCCTAATGTAAGTTAATTTTTCTTTGTATCCCTTCCTCCAAGTCTGTCCGCTTGTGAAGGCTGGGCAGGACACTGAACAGGTAGTGGTCTACTTCTATCAGCTCAGATGGTCCTGGTTCTTCAGATCACTTCATGCCTTATTACAGCAGATGCATGTTTTTGATAAGATATTATGTTTTATGTAGCTTTTTTGTATCACTGTTACTTAGACAGAAATATATATCGATACCATAATGACTTAAAAATACAACTGCACTTAACTACATGTAGAGTGTGGTTTTTGTTTAATTTCCTAGGTTTCAAAGGTTCAGCAATTCTTTGGGGGAGCATTGGTGTGCTCATTTAAGAAAGTGTTGTTGATGGACACTAATCAATAAGGAAATGTACATTTATCTACCCAGGGAAAGGGAGAAGGTACAGGTCAAGAGCAGGGTATGAGAGAAGTCTGGGGAGTGAGTATATAAGCAGCAGCTGTAAAATGTTCTAGCTTGACTAATTAAATACTGCTTGGAAAGCAACTATGTTTAATCTGTAACAAAAATATTTACTCCTGAAAATGCTTTTGCTGCTAGCTAAAATTCTCCTGGAGATTTTGTCTCAGGCTCATTAATTGGTGGTGGGGCTCTGGATTTTTGTCACTGTCCTGCTTGCTTGGACAGTGACTTTGTGTGTCTGTAAGTATATGTACTCTAAGGAAAGTCACCACAGTGTTGCATTGTGACATATAACAGATCTCAAAATGCAGAATTACAACCTCACTGAAGAATCTAGTATAAGATGAATCAGTTCTTTATTTTTAACAGGGGCAGTCTTCTGATATGGGTATTTATGAAAACTGTTAGCTGAACACTGGGTGGGTTCACCTTTTCATCTGATTTCTTTTTTGTTGTTACTGTTCCTTAAAGGGCTTCCCTGAGGTCCTAGGTACTTTGTTTTACAGACAGTACTGTGATATCACAGGCCCTGATATACTGGCGACTTTGTATACTGGGCACACTTATTGGTCAGGAGTCTGAAATAACTGGGATGTGATGTTTGATCTCCCTGTATTTCTGGTTCTGTACTGTGGGAAGCGCTGGCTTCTCATCCATGCTTGTACTTGACTCTTATCAGACCTGGTTTCTCTAGGTATGTGCATGTGTTTAAATCTTACATGAGTTCTGATAATCCTGATCCTTTGCTTTATTCCAGTTACAAGATACTTGTTCTTGGGCAGTGTTTTTATACTGTCAGGCCGATGAGATTACACAATATCCACTTTGAAAACAGAGTTTTCATTATGATTCTTGCAGAACATCGTGGTGTAGATCTGTGGGAATAAAGCCAACTAACCTCAGTCATTCCTCTTGTGGTTTCACTAAGTCCGTACCCCCCATACTTTCTGGGGCAGTTGTGATGCTGGAGGTAGTTTTCTGCTGTTGATGACAAAGATTATGATGATAATTCCAAAAAACAGAACACCAATTTTTAGGAATAGCAGCATTACGTATTCTGATGATGCTGATTCCATCACTACCTTTGACAACTTTGAAGTCTTGATGAAGTTTATAGTGTTTAATATCTTTTGATCTCAAACTTAGTATGGTGGTCGCAACAGTTCCTTTCCCCTCACACCTTGTTTCTTCCGTTAAATATGAAAGCTTGCAATAGACCGTGTTAGTTGCAATTTTAGTAAGTGTTTTGAAAAAATTAGGAAGTTAAAGTTGTGCCCTTTTTGTTCCTTTGTGGCAGTTAAAGTCTTCCAGGAGATTCTTACATTGCTGCTAGAATTAAACCTTTAAAAATTCAGCTGTGACATCAGTCTCTGGAACATGTGGTGCAGACAATATTGAGAATTATGTCTCCACTTATGTAAGTCTCTTCATTTTTCTTTAAGGATGGAAACAAGTGTAGTTACTAATTAGTTACTGTAGTTACCAAGTACTATGTTACTACTAACTGTAGTTACCTCTGGTTATGCCTGACAAGCCAGCATGTGTCTTCAGTCTTTACTTCCGCTTTTCCCACAGCTCCTTTGTAAAGTTTGAGTAAATATGAAGAGTTTTCAGAATTTGGAGGGCAAAGGCTTCAAACTTGCTGCTTATTTTTAGTAATGAGTTTAATTTAGTGGACTAAATTGATGAAATCTATATATAAGGTTTCTGAAGGAAGTAGCATGTGCACTCCCTAGCAGTATAGGACTGATATTAGAATAAGAGCGGCTCAGAGAAAAGTGGCACTGGAGTTTTTCCTGTGGTTTTCATTCATAATGACTTTCACCCACATGGATTCCCTAACACCTAGCTGCTGGGGAAGGAGGAGCCCTGTGTGTGTCTCCTGTACCTTATTACCTTAAGAAAATGTGCTAGAAACAAATTATAACATTGCTTTTTTTAATGTTAGTGTGTGTTCTGTACTGAGTGTTAAAGAACCAGAGAACAGTTATTCTTCAAGTGCCTGCTCATATTCAGAACACGGCCAAGCGTGGATACTTGTGCACTGTAAGCAATCAAGATCATGCATGTCTTGCCCTACCAGTACCTCTTTGTTTTAGTTGCTGTTCCCTGCTGAAGTGTATTGCGTGGTCCTCAGTTCCTCTTGGATGGCCTCAGCAAGATGAAGTGCCTCCTTGCTCTCTGGATTGCTGTGGAGTTGTGGGCTATCAGCCATCCTGAACAGGAGACTTACTCCTGGGGTGCAGTTCTGAAGGATGCTGTTCCCTTCATGTATTCATCTTTGTCATCTTGGCAGTTTTCTGTTGAGGTTTGGTCAAGGTTTGGCATCAGCTCTCTGGAATTCTTTCTCATTTGAATGCAGCTGGAGATGGTTTATAAAACAAACAAAAAAAAAATCCAGAAGAGGCCTCATCATCCCCAGGTTGTATTTGCCTGTCAGAAGTGAACTTTCAGAAGAGCTTCCTGACTCTGAAACAGCTTTTTGGTCATTTGCTCTGGGCTTTGAGAGAGATTTACCCAGCACTGTGTGTTCCATCCCATCTGCCAAGGAACTGATTGTTCTCCAAGAATCCTGATTGCCTCCATTGGTACCTGCTGTTGCACCATCGGTATGTAGGTCACACAGAAGCATTGTCCTGCTAGTTCTGCAGCTTTCTATCAGCAATCCCAGTGATGCTGCTTTTTCCTTCTTTGGTGCCAGGGCTCTGTGCCCACTTGCCTTGAGGTACGGCCATCTTGCATCTGTAGATGGTTCATCTTGGATGATAGGTCTTTTAGGAGCCTTTGTTTTCCTTCTGGTGGCCTCAGGTTTCCCTACTGATCTTAGCAGAGCATCTGGTATGGGCCAGAGTTTGGCTTCAAGTCCTGCTAGAGACTTTGGCCCAGCATCTTCTTACCTGTACCTCCATGTCCATCCAGCCACGGGTTGCAAGATCCCCTTATAGCTTCAAGAATGCTCAGTATCCAAGTGTCTTTAGTAGGCACAGCTGTTCTCCCTGCTTGTGATGAATGAGTGGCACAACCATCCTCCAAAAACCTTATCACATACAGATCTTGTGTTTAGAAGATGATGGGAGTCAAGCTACAGTAATGTGGATATTTTTATTAACTCAGAAGCTTTGGGTTAATTTTAGACTTGTGCTTAAGAATGTCTTTGATAAAATCTGCTGAGAGAGCTCCTGATGCTGCAGCTTGCTTGTTAGTGTTAGTCTGGACATAGTCCTTTCATGGTGCTTTATTTGGATGCTCCAGTAATGATGTAAATAAAGTATTAATACAGTTGATTTGCTTCTTCCTTATTATTGTGATTACCTCTGATTATATTCTGTATACCTTGTAATACCTGTAGTAACTCAGGAGCAGTATCTAAATGGGGTGTTCAGCTTTTCAGCTCTGAAGCAGAACATCTCGGACTTAATGAAATTGAGTACAGACTGAATCCCCTGACCTGTATGGAAGCAGCCTAATAGCTTTTCAATATGACTCTAATAACAGAGGTTATTAGTGAGTCTGACTGCCATCGATTGTGTTTGTCCTGGTTATAACATCTAAAGGACAATCTTCATCATCACCTTTGATTATATGCTACAGGATTAGTGAAAATACTATTCCACAGAATAGTGAAAATACTATTTAGTAACTAGCTGACATCTTTTTATGTTGCTCAGAGCCTAATCCCTTGACACTAAAGCAGCTAGTTTAAAAATACCAGTTCTTTTTGATGATGATGATGTGCCAGTGTGGAAACTAGTTTCCTGTAGTCTTTTTCTTTGGCCCTAAACTATTCTGCAGTCAACTGAGACTTCTGTGGCTTTTGCTGCTCCCAAAACTACAGAATATTTTGGAAGAGAAAGGAGTCATTAAATCATAGACATAAATAGTAAATGAAAGAAAACCAGTAAGAGCCAGGCAGAGCATTAATCCTCACAAACCACTCGTGGAGTTGCATGGATGCCATCACCAATCTGTTACTTATTTTAAATGCAAATGGGGGGCTGCATCTATGATTCTTGATTTAGCTTTGGTCTTCCAGTGCACTTCAAAATGGGTACATTACAGAATGCATAGCAGGAAAAAAAGGATGTTGGAATAGTTGCTTTAGTCAGGATGCTTTCCTATTGCCAAGCTAGAGCTGTTTTACACCTGTCTAACTCTCTACCCCTCTCTTCATGCCAGACTTCCTTCCAGCTGTGTGGGAGTGGCCTCTTTAAAACAACCTCTGCTAAATGCTTATTCTGTTTGAGAATCTGCTGGAACAGGCTCTTCCCAGTCAATTTAA